GTGTAATAAAGTACGACAGATGACTTCTAGCATTTGCATATTTATTTTGGGCAGTCAATTTCACATTTTTAATTGAATATGTGCTTGCATATATAGTTTTTTTCAGAGCTTTAAGCCCTCTGTCATAATATTAATATAATATTATTATAGTTAACACAAATTATTAGATTAGCCATCGATGGTTGTGTATGGATATGTAARCGGTCATATATCTAAATTTGRTTATCTACCATTATATTCTAGTTGTATTAAAATTATTTAAAAAATGTTGTGTGTRGTGCATTTTTGTGTACCTATGTAATKATGACGTCATAATTGATGAATATAATTTAAAATGTAAGATGCACAAACACAAGCATTTATTCTGTTATATTAAATATTTCCTTACAATATTGAAATTTATGAACGGAATTAATCCGTTTGAAAATATTATAAATGTGTATGGTGATTGTTAATTTTAGGAGTGCTATAATTTAGTTGGATTAATAGCGTGTAAAAAAAAAGTGATAGCAATATGGCTTTTTATAAATAGTATTTGGATATTGACTTGTTTATGTATTAATAATTGTGTTGTTTCAAATTCAAATCWTTTCACTCTGTATTATAATACTACATTATACAGATCTCCACTTCTTACAAATAACATTAATTTATTGTTAATAATTAATATATTATATTGTTATCAACTTATTTATTTTATACATAATTAAATAACTTAACTATTACGAATTTGAGTATTWTTATACACAGTTGTACAGACCAATAAACAGGGTGTCCCGTAAGGATATACCCATTAKCCGTARAGAGGGGGATTCGCCGCTTGCATAAAAACCAGTTTTTAAACTAAAAAATTATTAAAAATCGTGAGAATAATGAAAATAAAATGCTGGAAGGTCAAAATATTCATATAAATAAACTCTATAAAATAGGTATCTTTATGTTTTTTCAAAAATTCAGAAATTAAAAAATATTTTTTTATCTTTTTTACAAGCATTTAATTAAATTAAAAAATAAAATAAACGTAGCCCTAATCTATGTGAGTCCAATAAAAAAAAAACAGATTTATGATATTGCAATGGGTAAATCCTCGTGGGACATTGTATAATAATTGAACACTATTTTCTACAGATATTAAAGTCACAGAATATTTTC